AATGGTTATGATGACCCTAGGATGCCTTCATATGCTTGATTTTGATTGTGTAATATTTTTTTTTTGGTCAGACATATTGAAACACTCCAGCATGGCACAATGATGCTTCCCTTTCAAAAGACAACAACCTTTTAAGTTTCTCCTGCAATCAATTACTGATCTTCATCAGGAAGAACTGCAATAATCACTCTTACCAATATCTGAAAAACAAAGAGATTTTTCACTACAGAGCTCTTGCAGAGGACATTCTTTGCTCCAGTTTAAAGCAATGAGAGCAGAGTTGGATGTTTCCAAGTTCTTAGGATCAAACTACTTGCACAGGGCAAATAAGCATATGTTTTTACATGTTAATCCTGCTTCATTTTCTAATAAGATACTTTAATTACATGGTTGGAAACAATGCTCCCTCTAAGCTGTGGAGCCTTGAGAGCAAAAATTCTAGTGGTGAGTGAGCGACATGGCTACTGCATAAATTAGTTTGCTCCAGAGCCATCCTTCCTGAGCGAAGACAAAAATGTGTGAGCTGGAGGCTGAAAAACTGTGAGCTAGCTCACACTCACTCAGTTTAGAGGGAACACTGGTTGGAAATGAGTGTCATCTGGGCTTCCCAACTGATTCTTTGTAGCAGCTTAAATCGTTTGCTTCCTTTGAACTCTCATAATTGTCTCTATCCTTTTTTTTTGTTCTGTATATCCTGATACTAGGGTAAACCTCTTTAACAGTTTGGAGCCATCTGGACACAAAAAGAAAACATCCATGGTGGAGATGGCTGTTAGCTTAAGAAGTCCATCCTCAAAAATACAAAAACAGTGTACTCCAGGGGTGTTAGCTGTCTGATGATAATCAAACAAATGGCCAAAACGTTTGTTGAAGCAATTAAACAACTAATGTGGCCCCAAACAGATGGGACTTTTTTTTTTTAAAGCACCCTGTAATTTTGCAACAGATTTTTGCAAGCACCATTATTACCAACACCCTGCCATTCTGAAGTAACGTGGGAAACAAAATATCTTCTTTAGTAGAGACATGATGCTAGTTATGTGCAAACCACGGTTTTGAAAGTTGGAGGTATAAACATGGGGAAGAGTTGCCTCTCTGCCATCCTTTGCAAAAGGTGATGACAACAGTGAGAGCCAATGGTTAGACAGATGTGTGTTGGATTCAAGTTCTATTGTGCTATATTTGCAAGGCTTCTGGCAAGCCAGTCTTTTTCATCCTTTGTCTCCCATCAGTAAAATGCAAACGAACTATAATTACACTGCAGAAATGCATCTCTATAGCTGTTGGCATTGGCTGGTACACTCCAATGCTATTCCACGTTCAGGGAAGAGAACATGTTTTTAATCCCTTTTTACTACCTCTGAAATCCCAGGTGTTTTGTCACTGAGATTCAAGGTGGATTACGTGTAAAACAGTGTAATCAAATAGCATGAATGATATAAGCAATACAAAGGACCAGGATTACAATAATTACAAACAAAAAGGATAAACCTTCATTCTTTTTTGTTATTCTGACAAAGTGAACTTTGACTCATGAAAAGTTACACCCTGGAAAATATGTTGGTTTCTAAGGTGATACTAGATTCAAATTTTGTTCTGCTACTACAGACTAACATGGCTACCCACCTGAAAGAATTAGAAACAGTGCAAAAATTATCAGACAAGCAATGCAGAAACCGGAATTACAAAAGCAGAAAACAATGCAGTATGAGTAGGATAATACATACAACAAATAGATAGTATAAAGCATACAGAGTGGCACAGACTACAGTACTGTTCCCTTTATAAAAGTGTGAAATTAAGCCTTTTTAAAGAAAGGGTATAATGGGCAGGATGACTTGGGTATACCAGTGTATACTTGGGCAGGAGTTTTTATATAGAGTACAATACGAATACACCTAAGACAGAACTCTTATTATAGAAGGGATTTATTATTAGTCATCCAGAAGCTTACAAAAGTGCCATAAAAACAGAAATCTAAATAATTATATAGTTATCTAAATAATTATATAGCTTTTCTTCATTGTTTAACTAAAAGTGCAATTCTAAACACAGTTACACCCTCATAAATCCACTGAAATCAATTGGTTTGGAAAAACACAATGATGCTTCCCTTTCAAAAGACAACAACCTTTTAAGTTTCTCCTGCAATCAATTACTGATCTTCATCAGGAAGAACTGCAATAATCACTCTTACCAATATCTGAAAAACAAAGAGATTTTTCACTACAGAACTCTTGCAGAGGACATTCTTTGCTCCAGTTTAAAGCAATGAGAGCAGAGTAGGATCAAACTACTTGCACAGGGAAAATAAGCATATGTTTTTACATGTTAATCCTGCTTCATTTTCTAATAAGATACTTTAATTACATGGTTGGAAACAATGCTTCCTCTAAGCTGTGGAGCCTTGTGAGCAAAAATTCTACTTTGTGAGCTACCGGCATTAAAGTGGTGAGTGAGCGACATGGCTATTGCATAAATTAGTTTGCTCCAGAGCCATCCTTCCTGAGCGAAGACAAAAATGTGTGAGCTGGAGGCTGAAAAACTGTGAGCTAGCTCACACTCACTCAGCTTAGAGGGAACACTGGTTGGAAATGAGTGTCATCTTTTTATCTGGGCTTCCCCCCCCAAAAATAACTCCCAACTGATTCTTTGTAGCAGCTTAATTCGTTTGCTTCCTTTGAACTGTCATAATTGTCTCTATCCTTTTTTTTTGTTCTATATATACTGATACTAGGGTAAACCTCTTTAACAGTTTGGAGCCATCTGGACACAAAAAGAAAACATCCATGGTGGAGATGGCTGTTAGCTTAAGAAGTCCATCCTCAAAAATACAAATACAGTGTACTCCAGGGGTGTTAGCTGTCTGATGATAATCAAACAAATGGCCAAAACGTTTGTTGAAGCAATTAAACAACTAATGTGGCCCCAAACAGATGGACTTTTTTTTTTAAGCACCCTGTAATTTTGCAACAGATTTTTGCAAGCACCATTATTACCAACACCCTGCCATTCTGAAGTAACGTGGGAAACAAAATATCTTCTTTAGTAGAGACATGATGCTAGTTATGTGCAAACCACGGTTTTGAAAGTTGGAGGTATAAACATGGGGAAGAGTTGCCTCTCTGCCATCCTTTGCAAAAGGTGATGACAACAGTGAGAGCCAATGGTTAGACAGATGTGTGTTGGATTCAAGTTCTATTGTGCTATATTTGCAAGGCTTCTGGCAAGCCAGTCTTTTTCATCCTTTGTCTCCCATCAGTAAAATGCAAACGAACTATAATTACACTGCAGAAATGCATCTCTATAGCTGTTGGCATTGGCTGGTACACTCCAATGCTAGTCCACGTTCAGGGAAGATAACATGTTTTTCATCCCTTTTTACTACCTCTGAAATCCCAGGTGTTTTGTCACTGAGATTCAAGGTGGATTACGTGTAAAACAGTGTAATCAAATAGCATGAATGATATAAGCAATACAAAGGACCAGGATTACAATAATTACAAACAAAAAGGATAAACCTTCATTCTTTTTTGTTATCTGACAAAGTGAACTTTGACTCATAAAAGCTTACACCCTGGAAAATATGTTGGTTTCTAAGGTGATACTAGATTCAAATTTTGTTCTGCTACTACAGACTAACATGGCTACCCACCTGAAAGAATTAGAAACAGTGCAAAAATTATCAGACAAGCAATGCAGAAATCGGAATTACAAAAGCAGAAAACAATGCAGTATGAGTAGGATAATACATACAACAAATAGATAGTATAAAGCATACAGAGTGGCACAGACTACAGTACTGTTCCCTTTATAAAAGTGTGAAATTAAGCCTTTTTAAAGAAAGGGTATAATGGGCAGGATGACTTGGGTATACCAGTGTATACTTAGGCAGAGTTTTTATATAGAGTACAATACGAATACACCTAAGACAGAACTCTTATTATAGAAGGGATTTATTTTTAGTCATCCAGAAGCTTACAAAGTGCCATAAAACATATAGTTAGATGCTTTTCTTCATTGTTTAACTAAAAGTGCAATTCTAAACACAGTTACACCCTCATAAATCCACTGAAATCAATTGGTTTAGAAAGAGGTAAGTCTGCCTACAATAGCATTGACAATTACTATGCAGAGCACCACACACTTGCATGTTCCAAGAAGTTCTTGCTTGGACAAAATCCAAAATGGCTCTGATCGTATGATTTCTAAACTGCCCCTGACTTGGAGGAAACCCAGCCAAGCCATATATTCCCAATCAGACATCAGATAGAAAAAGCACAAAGAGAGCTGAATTACCCAGGAAACTAAAAACCTGCTTTTAATAGAGGAAAACTTTCATGATTTGGAAAAGGTGTCAACCAGCTTTCTGAGGCTTGAATCAATGCACTGCACGTAACAGCATAGGAGAAACCATGTTAAGCCAGTGGTCCACCCAGTCCAACACTCTGTGTCACACAGTGGCCCAAACCCAGGTGCCATCAGGAGGTCCACCAGTGGGGCCAGAACTCCAGAAGCCCTCCCACTGTTGCCCCCCAACCACCAAGAATACAGAGCATCACTGCCCCAGATATAGTGTTCCATCTATACCTTGTGGCTGATAGCCACTCATGGACCTCTGCTCCATATGTTTACCCAAACCCTTTCTAAAGCTTTTTATGCTTCTAGCTGCCACCACTTTCTGTGGCAGTGAATCCCACATGTTAATTATTCTTTGGGTGACACCAAGGAGGAAGGCTGTCAAAAAAACTAATCCGGTCTGAGTCCCCCCCCCCCCAATTATCCATTCTAAGGAAAATTGATTTAACTTAAGAATGGAAAGAATTTGTAAACTGTATCTTCCTGGGAACATTTGACTAGTTGTGGGTGCTTATTCATGGACAAATCATTTGACACTACCAGTGAAATTCTATGTACACCCTTCTAAGCCTGTTGATGTTAATGGACTTAGAAGGGAGTAACTCTGCTTTGAAGTGCAGTGTAGGTGCCATTACCCTCACCTCATCACATGGAGCTATCCGGTGAATAATATCTTTCAAACAGCCGATCATTCTTTCCTCTTGAAAGTCATATGGAAATGTTTCCGTCCATTCTGTCAATAATTGTAGAATTTTGGGTCCAAATTTTCTGATCCGGGTCTGCAGTTAGAAAACAATATTGATGGAAGAAAACTTCAGAACAGCCAGGTAGTGCACACCAACAGTAAGCTCCAGTGAGTTTATCCTGAAGCCAAATATTCAATGGTGGCACCTATATAGTACCAGTCGAGACAATGCATTGAGTTTAACATGCGCGACTAACAACCTCAGTTCCTTTCAAAGGGTTCATATGTAAAAAAAACCTGGATGAGATCAGGGAGTTTCCTTGTTTTATCTTGTGGACTGAACACACCTTCTAACAAAGAAAAGATATCACATGTAAAGAAGTTTCCTCCTTTTTCAACAAAATTGGACAAAATACTTTAGCTTTTTCCAGCAGTTGGTTTCAGCACATTGTTTTCATGCTGTCTGTAACCATTATAAGAAAGTAATTGAAGACCTGTAAAATGTCTTGTGTGGTATGTGTGGGAGAGGTAGCAGAGAACTCTCCACTTCCTCTCCTGTTACTTTTTCTGTCCCTGCACAATTATATATATGCCTGCACTATTATATATACACAAACCAAAGATAGATTCTTGGGGAAGAGAAGAGTTGGAAATGCATCACACGTGCTTTCACTTCCCTTCTTCCAAAGCCAGGTCATGTATAATGAAGGCTGCCTGCCTTCTGTGTTTTTATCATACTCTCAACAAGACACCTTTGAAGGAAGAGCATATTGGAATCAGGTATTATTACTAGAATGTACTCATGATGGGGGTGGCAGGGTATGGATCAAGGGACATAAAAAATAAAAAGCAAAACCATCATGCTAATACCCAGATAAACCTTCAGCAGACAGGAAGTGGACTGGATAGGGTTGCCAGGTCCCTCCTGGAAACTGGTGGGGGATGGGGGGATTTACTCAGAGCAGGAGAGAAGCCCAGCTGATGTCCAGCAATGTGCCTACATCACTGCCCATGTGACACAGAAGTGACGTTGTCATGTTGGGGCAATGCTCTGGTATTTGGGGAAAACGTCATGTTGGGGCAATGCTCTGGTATTTGGGGAAAACTCTATGGTCTATTTGGCTTTTACCCACAGAGTTTTTGCTCAAATCAATTGGGCTTTTACCCACAGAGTTTTTGCTCAAATACCAGAGCATCACCTGACATCCCCAATGTGGTGATGTCTCTTCCAGGTCACGTGGGCAGTGACATAGACATGTTGCTGCACATTGGTTGGATCTCCCTCTTTTTCTTGGTAAGTTCCCCCCACCAGCCAGCTGATCGTTAGCAGGGCGGTGAGACCTGGTAGTGGGGGATCTCCATTGGGGGGGAGGGGCGTCTGGCAATCCTAGGATGGGAAATAGGAGGCTCTCATTAATGATTTCCTTGGGGGGGGTATAAAGAAGCTCTGGAAAATTAAACCATCTTCATCTGGCACCTGAAAGCTTGCCAGTTTGTCTCCAGGGATGGAGTTCCAAAATCTAAGTATCACAACAGAAAAGGCCACATGTTTTGTGTTAATCCAGACTGCTTCTGCCAGTTGGAGTACACAGAGCAGAGCATCCGAGAACCCTCTTAACTAGTAGCCTGGGTTCATACATGTCCTTCAGAAGCCCTGCTCTCAGAACCATGAATGCACTAGACGTATTTATGTTCCAGCAAATTACTAATGAAAAAAGGTTCTTCTGAAAACGGTCAAATATGTGACAATGTCTTCCTTAGGTTAGTAAACAGCAGCTGAACTAACTACGGCATCTGCTCATGGTCATAGCAGACTGAATGTTTTTACGTGAGTTTAGAACCTTGCTGAGTCTAGATGTTGAGTCACAACATTTGTAAACTGAGCCCACCCACTAAATTATCACTCTTAATTCTAGTCTTAATTTTCTGTGATGGAACTGCCAGATGGGATACAGAATCTTCTTTCTTTTTCTATGGTTACTTGTATAAAGAGGTATAAAAAGGTGTTATCAATGCACTGCTGACATTCTAACAAAAGTTGTGGCAGTGAATGGCCTAATATCTGTTTTAACCCAGTTCTCAAAATGTGTTTGTACCTGCATTTTCAAAACAACAACACTCTGTTGGTATCTGCAAAATCTGAAGATGTGAAAAGAAGGAACTGATGAAGTGTGTGCTGTGTCCTACATAACACAACTTGGAGGGGGATGGGGGAGTAGGTATTGCTAAAAGCCACAGCAGTATCTTTTACAGTGTCTAGATTCAACGGGATGAGCAAAGGTGGTAACAGCAATGTGATCTTGCTGCTTCTTGTTAGGCAGTCATAAACTAAGCATAACACCAACTCATTGCCTCACGTGAGAGATATAAAGTGGTGCCATATATCTCTTCTTATATATAATTGTGTTTTCGGGTGAGTTTTTCCTGAACATTCCACATGCTCCCAAATCAATTGGCTCCCTGACCTGTAACTCTGATGGTCTGCCAATCCACTGGCTGGGTTGCCAGAGTCCCGCCCACAAAGGCGGCGGCCAGCATCTCGCCCTCAGTGTGGTGCGAGGCGACGGACAGGACAGATGCTCCGGCGGGGGGAGGCTGAGAAGCCTGAGGCTTGGGTCGGTGTTGGTCGCAACGCCTGTTCCTGCGGAGGCAGCGGCAGTTGCTGTGAGCAGCCATTGAGGGGAGTGGGGCATCAGTGTGTGTGCGCGAGGCCCAGCACAGCAGCCGTCGGCACCTCAGGTCTCCACTCTGCCGCAATGTACGAGCCCCTGACTAAGCCGGGGCCCTGCCTCACCACTCCGAGCCAGGGAAACGAGGCTGAGCGCTTGCCCACCCCGCCGGAGGGGAGCAGCAGGGAGGCGTGGCTCAACCTCTTGGAAGGCTGTGGGGCGTGCGGCCAGCGGCTGCAGAGCTGCCAGCCGAAGCTCCTCCCATGCCTCCAATCGCTGTGCTGCCGCTGCCTGTCCGTGCCTTGCCACTACCTGATGTCCCCACCCACCGCCCCTTCCCCCATCAAAGACACACCGGTGCTGCAGCCACTCCCCCAGCCAGCCTTGTCCTCACCTATTGCTGTGCCCCCCTGTGAGTCAGGTGAGTCTGCGGTAGCCGGGGAAGGGCTGCCATTTGGCGGGGAGCTCGCAGACAGCATTGAGCGGGGGTGGGGGGAGTCGCTGGCAACTCTACACCAGATATGTGGATTCAAGTCCAAGCTCTGCCCTGAAGGAGAAGGCAGCGAGGGAGGAGGGCGAGGCCGAGATATTTCTAGAGCTCATTGTATTCATTTTACAACAGGCTTCACTACTAGTCTAGATATATTTTTGTCTCAGGTGCTGGACTAGATATATCCTTTCCTTTGCCTTTATTCCCTTAGAAGCTCATTGATTCATAAATCTTGAGCAGCAGAAAATACTTATTCCTTGTTTTATGGATGCATGGGCTAAAAGGACTGAAATATATTTTGTAATTGCTAAGGTAAACTTAGAATCCTTATTGCTAAGCAAAAGAGCCAGGGTTTCTGGAGTATAAGAGGGCAGTGCCTAGATATATCATGGTGCACAGGTATGCAAACGTTATTCAGTGCAGGCACAGAAGACTAATGGGCAACTTCATGCTGCTCTTGGGAGTTGACAGTGATAGCTAGAACATTTTGAAGCAGTACCCAAGGCAAAGGGGAAATGCATTAAATGAAACTGAGAGACATGCTGCTGCACTGACATTTGCTATTGACAGTGCACACACAGTTTAAATCCTGGCACCCTGTAGGCTTCTGCAAAGCCTTGAAAGAAATGACAACGAAATCACGGGGGAAGATTGAGACAGGCTAGAAGAGAAAAGGAGAAGGGGATTTGAAGTGACTGCTACACCCTCTGCCTAAAGCTTTGCTCTGGGGCACTGAATGTTCTATTAGAATGCGACTGTGCCAAATGCTCAGTGTCAGCAAAACCCCCTGAGGGTCTGGATGCACACAGCTGGCAAGGAATCAAAAGGGAAAAATCACTGGGAGTCAAATCAGAAGCCTTTTCTAATCCATTTTAGTGCTGTCAGTTCCTCGCAAACATAACAAAACCCTTCATGCTGTCAATAGGACCAACCTTATCCAGCACTGGGTCATCCAGCTGCTGCTGCTCAATGCACTTGTGGCAAACGCGCGAGAGAAGTTCATGAGGTTCAATGAAGAGTCGTGAGCTGAGCAGGAATGTAAAGATATAGGCCTTCTGGGAAAGAGAGAGAGGCAAGCTTAGTGGATGACAAGAGCAGAAAACAGGCCACACCGTTTCTGAAAGGAGCTCTCTAGCTAGGCTATGCAAAGCACAGAGTTTTCCAACTGCTGATAGAGAAATGAGATTAAAGGTAAAGGTAAAGGTTCCCTTGCTCGAAAGCCAGTCGAATCCGACTCTAGGGTTGCGATGCTCATCTCCGTTTCAAAGCCGAAGAGACAGCGCTGTCCGAAGACGTTTCTGTGGTCATGTGGCCGGCATGACTAAACACCAAGGCGCACAGAACGCTGTTACCTTCCCACCAAAGTGGTACCTATTTATCTACTTGCAATTTCTTGCTTTCGAACTCCTAGGTTGGCAGGAGCTGGAACTAGAGATGGGAGCTCACTCTGTCATGCGGCACCCGGGTCTCGAACTGCTGAACTACCGACCCTCCACAGCCTGCAGTTCAGCGTCTTAACCACTTGCACTAAATAGACATCAGTAATACAGGCACTGCTTTCTACGAGGCTGTAATGAATCTCAAGGTCCGCAGACTCTACTGATTCATTAGGCTATTTTCCACAATGTGTTGACCTTCCTGACCCACTGGACCTTTTCCTTCATGGAATGAGCTTCTCAGATATCCAAAGCATCCTCCATGGCATTTGACTCACAGCCACATGCTTAATGGAGATTCCACACACCCCCACATTGGAAGAAGGGTTAATATTTCTTGTTCTGTCAGCATCATCCCAGGTAAAAAAAATCTCATGAATGAATGGCTCTTTCCACCTTTCGGCAGGAAG